TTGAAAGGTACTCTAGTGTATGAATCCCACATAACTACTTCAATTAGAACCATTCAAATTCATGAACTGTAGAGCAACAATAAAACATGTTAAATGAAAAAATCTCATATTAAGTATAAAAATAATAAATTTGTAGGTTAAATACAAAAAAAAGTCACTTCACCTATTACCAATTGATTTTAGCTTGGATACAAACCTTGTATTGAACTCACACGACTTTTACATGGTATCAGAACTCAGATTCTCTCATGAAAAACCCGTTATTAGTTTATCTGCTAGGACCCAAAGTTGAAGGTATCAAGTTTGCATTTATGGGAGCATATTAACCCACGTAACAAAACTTGACATTCATAGTGGGCCTACATGTGAGGGGTGTGTTAAATGAGAAAATCTCACATCAAATATAAAAATAAGAAGCTTCTGGGTTAAATACAAAGAATACCACTTCACCTATTATCAATCTATTTTAAATTGGATGTAAATCTTATATTGAGTTTACATACACGATTTTCACAAAACACGGATTTGCCATTGGTTGACTTATTCTTTATACAAAAAATCAAAATCCAGCTTTAATTTATCCACAACATAAGAAAAGAACCAATAAAACTTGAAAATTTTTGCAATAGAAAGAAAAATAGCAAAAAAAAAAAAAATAATCAAGGAATATATAATAGAAGATGATAAATGTACGAGGGAATGCTTATGCACCCTTTTTCCGACGGCAGAGCTTTTGTGTTCAAAGCGACCTTCTTCTCTTTTTCTCCTTTCTCCCCATCGATTCTCTCCTGGTATTCATTGATTTCGAGTTGATGGGAAATGAAATTAATTAAGAGACATGATTTGAGAAGCAAATATGTAATTAAAGTGTTATCTTATGGTATAAATAAGCTTATAACTAATGTTCAGGTTGAAGTCTTAACTCAGCAGCAAAAGAAATTAAACTTACATGCTGCTTTGCCCCTTTAAACTTATTAGATGAAAACTAATTTTGAAATGCACCGAAGTTAACCAAACATGTGACCATAAATAAAGAAAAAAAAAAAA